GTGTTTGTTTTGAAAATAACAAGGATGTTTTTGTTTTGAAAGTGAGCAAGTAACTAGGAACATTCTACCTACTCAAAAGTTTTTCATGTTTATTTCTTCTTTCCTTTGACATTGTTATCTTACCATCGATTTGGTAAGTAACCCTATCTTTGGATGTAAACGGGACGGGCGTGGGTCATCGTATAACCATGATTAGCAATGTTGCAAGGTATCTTAGCATCTTTCTTTAGGGACTAAGATCATTTTGAAAGGCAACTTTTGATAACGTCATCGAGGGACTGTGATCTTGTATTTTGCTTGTTTTTGCTAAGATACCTCACACGCGTAACATGGTCATTTTTGTAAGGAAACCAGGTGGATTTTACCCTAGGGGTGCTTGTGTGAAAGTGTATTGATTTTTCATATTTTATTTGTCTTTGATTAGGGTTTGCTAATTGATTGGTTTTAGTCTTTCCATACAAACCCTAATTACTAGCATTTATATAAAGCGATAAATTGCAGAATTTAAAATTACTATGCTATTGCAATACTTGTGGGAGGGGGTGTACAAATTACAAATGAGGATTACAAGAAAATAAACATAATTATCTATTACAACCATTTTGAATTTGAATAAATATACGAGAATGTAAATGTAAAGAAAATGGACATTTTGTTTGGATTTTTTTAGGAAAGGGTTTGGTTTTAAACTAATTAACTAAAAGCAAATAATAAATTAAATTAGTAAAAGTAAACTTAAATTAATTAGGAAAAGAAAGTTACATAAAACTCTAATCTAAATATTAATTGATTAAGAGATAAAAAGAAATTAAGTTTGTAAGAAAAATATTTTTAATGTCTTTTTTGTCTTGAAAATAATGTTTGGTATTGTAAAATATTTTTGGTCTTTTTTGATTTTAAAAGAATGTTTTTTAATTGTAAAAGAAATAATTAAAACCCTAGTTTCTAATTAAATTTACAAATTAATTAGTAAAATAGATAAAGTATGATTAAATAAAAATGTTTTTATTGTAAAAATAAATAAACTATATCAAAATATAAATATAATGTTTTTATATTTTTTTTATGATTTTTCTAATATTAAATATTATATTAAAGAAAACAAATAAATAAAAAAAGAGAAAAAGGAAAATAAAATGGGCCAGGGGTATGAACAGTGAGCAGGGAGTATGAAATGAGCAAAAATAATAGGCCCAACACAGGGGGCCCAGCGCTGCAAACAAACATAAAAAATGTGAGAAAAAAATGAGAAAATAAGCAAAAGGGTACCACTGGAACTCGAACCCAGGTCCCAAAGGTTAACAGGCGCGCGCTTTACCACTGGGGTGGTTATACATTCGTTCATATAAACAAAACAATAAATATATATTAGAAATCAAGTTCATGGCCTGAACTTCATCTTCAACCTCACGCCCAACCAGAGTACCTACATCTTGTTCACTTCTCATCCATTTGCAAAATTGTAAACATGAATCTTGTGGCAAATTTCCTCACGATTTCAGAAATATAAAGCAATAAAATTATAGATCAAAGACAAGCATGAATTTTAATGGCCCTAATTTGAACCCTAAAAATTTCAGAAACTTCAATCTTAAAATTCTCTAAGCTCAAGCAACATAAATGAAAACTATGGACATGGTTAGCTTTAGGGCAATGATATCTACATTTTTCATTCATAAATAAACCATTAATGATGCTTATATGAAGAGTTGAAAGTTAAGGAAACTTACCTCAAAATTGGAAATCTTATTTTGAGTTTGAGCACTCCTCAAGGTGTTGTGATGATCAGAATAGCTCCACTTAGGTCCCAGGAAGCTAATGCAATGATTAACTTGGTTGGAGAATGGCTGAAATGGTCTGGAGAAGTTCACTTGTAGTGCTCTATTTTTGAACTTGGAAATGGAGGAAGATGGTGTTACAGAATTGTAACAGGGTATGGGATTGTTTGTGTATGATGCTTGGAAGCTTTTGGAAGCAAGAAGCCAAGAAACGCACGAGTAGTTTTTGGTTTTGGGATTTTTGGCCAGAATATGCAACAATGGAGGTGTGAGATGCAAATATGAGTTCTTGCTCTTTTCAGGGCTCAAGCATGTGTGTGATTTGTGGCAAATAACTTGTACATAAGTAATGAGAAGGTTTTTTGTGCTTGAGAGGGTCAGAAGTACAAGACATAAGCTGATTGTTGTGTTACTTGATTTTGAAGAAAAGTGGGAAGTATGGTTCCAAGAGGAAGTACAAGCATGGGATGAGTGATTGTAAGTGTTTAGAAAAACTTTTCTTGAGTTATAGGAAATGTATGATCAGAAGAAAACAATTGCAAGGCTCAAGAATAAGTTTTGTGCAAAAAGCTACTTTATCAAAATGGCATTGTGCACTTTCTTCCTAAAATGGATATAAAGCATGGCTTTGCATTGAATGCTTGAATTGAGACATCTAACAGTTGTGTAAGCAATTAATTATGGAGTACCTAACAATTTTGAGTCCTGTAAAGTAGATATTATGCAGTATAGATTTGAAATTTGAATCTTGTTCATCACAAAATGACATGTATTTCAAGTGTGAAAACCCTAACTTCATCTCTTCGATTATCCCTGCTCAAGAATGACCTCAAGGAGTTCTTGGACATTTTGGAAATCTTGTAATATGCTCTACAACCCCTATTTGAATCACTTTTAAAAATTCCTCTTGGAACTATATGAAAAAGTGCCATGAAGTTAAGTCAAATCCTGACCAAAACTAGGGCAAAATTTCATTGTGTTCAATTTCAAGACCATGACTTTATGAATTAATAACTTGATAGCCAAGCACTTTTAGAATAAGTTGTGTAAAGAAATATTGTAGATATCATGGAGATCTACAACTTTCATGTTGAAAGTTTCTTCTGAATCCTCTTGTATCATGGTGAAAAATTTGCTTAAAGTTATGAAAAAACATGAAGTTTTAAACACTTAGAAAAATTTCTAAGTTATAAAACTTTGACTTTTCAAAATGAAATCTTGACTTTTTGATTTCTTGATGAATAAGTTTCATATTTTGACATGTTTTGATGAATTGTGATCTTTGACATTGAATTTTGACCAAAAAGTCAAAGTTTGACTTTTCAGTGTACAGTTGACTTTTTGATCAGTTGATTGGAAATTCACTATCAATCCAATTGATCTTGAGCAATATTATTGGTCATGCCATTAGGTCAAAATGATGCAATTAAACTCTTGAAATCATGCTTCAAACTAATTTACCATTTGCTAGGTCAAAAATCAGAAATTGTCATTTCTCAATCAAAACCCTAATTTTGACCATTTTGCCCTTTTGATGATTTGATCAAATTTCTTGAGGAATTATGGTCCAAAATTGATCAAATGATACATATGAGTTTATAATGTTGATGTGGATAAAAAATTATGAAGTTTGACTGTAAATTGACCATAGTTGACTTTTTCCCTAAATACAATTGATTTTAGGTCAACTGCTCAATTGACTGAGCAAAAGTGTGATCCAAGACTTGAAACTTGACATGAGTAATCTTGGGGGTCCATAATGATCCATGAAAGTCCTATGAAGCATTTAAAGTTCAATTGTCCTTGTGCAATCTCAAACCCTAATTTTGATCATCAGTGTTTAAGGAGGTGTCTTGTGCTGATCAACCCTAGTGCAGTCTTGAACCAAGAGAGATCTTTGTGAGAAATTTTTTAATAAATGAGAGGGAAAATTTTGGGGTACAACACTGGGAATAATTGATATTAGTTTTGCTGATGACCTACTGCTTTTCACTAGAGGAGATGAGGGGGAAAATTGTTACAATAGAATTTTGAAGACTACGCTCGCAGAAACAATCTATGGGTGCTGGACATTGAGAAACAAAATTGTGTATAGTGATAAAAAGAATGCAAGGCAGGATCATAGTGGTATAGAAAAAAATATAATAGATAGAATAGTTAATAGGTGTTGGAGAAAGAAAAAGCTTCACGAGCATGTAGCTCCGTTGATTCTAACAGCAGAATAGTTTAATTAGGCCTTTTCTGGTTTTTTAGACTGGACCCTATGGGTCGCTTTGTGCTAAACTCTTTTTTCGATGTATATATAATATATATGTTTTTCCAAAATAAAAGAAATAGACATTCTCTTCTCTACTTATATCTTTTCTACTTCTCTCTTCTTTACTTCTCTCTCTCGAAACAAACATACTATACATTTTTATCAAAAATAAGTTAAATTGAATATAAAAATCTAATACAATATCATTGTTTATATTTTTTAGTCTATGAATCAAATTCAATATTATTTAACATAGTGTTGTGTAACAAAAAAATTAGACATAGCAAAAAAACCGCCCTCATTTAGACCTTGCTGCCTCCGCCCATGTCCATGCCTCACCACCTTCGCTTCAAATTTAATGGTGAATGTGCAAAAAACCAATTTTTAATTACTAGAACAGAAGCAGAGAATGCTAATATCTGTCCCACATCAAAAACATATATTTGCTCAAGTAAATAAAATCTATTTTATTATTTATATTTTTAATAATTTTACTATCTATTTATTTTTCTTAATTTAAAGATTATAAATTTATTAAAATTATTGTTTTTTAAATACAAATTAATTAAAATAATCACCTTAACAATAAGTTTTTGTAAGATGAAGTGTCTACTATGCTTCTGGATGATGAATTGGGGTATTTCTATTAAAATCCCTAGAGACATGGAAGATCTCATGCTTTGATTTGCTTAACTCAATAATTGATTTTTAATTCTTCTAAGTCAGTTATCTTTCACAATCAAATACAATATATTAGTTAGACATTATTCATTCAAACAAAATCATAAAAAACTAACTAGTATAAATATACGTTGACTTTATAAGATCTATATATAGCCAAAGTTTTAACACATATTAGCATTCCAAACCAAAACTAAAAACTGTACTCATTAGTCATTACACTAGAAAAATAATAGTTCGAGAAATTTAACACACTTGTTAAACATAAAAGGATCAAATTGACAATGAGGTGCAATCATCATGTTCGTTTGAATTGTGGCATTACAATGCCCCTCATTGGATTTGGCACTTATTCATATCCAAATGATCACAAGACAACACAAATTGCTGTCCACAATGCCCTTGAGGTACTTTCCTTAATTGTATTTTTAGAAAATTGTGAATCTTGAATGTTAAACTTATGTTTGTTAACACGGTAAGTTGTTTTTGTTGTCGCATGTTTAAGGTCTTTTTCACTGTGATTTTGAAAAATTAGTGTAACTTTTGTCTCACGTGACAACGTGTTTTTCCTAATTATAGAGAATTTGCTTGCTAATTTTATTCTTAATTTTCATTATTATGTATGCAGTTGGGTTATAGGCATTTTGATACAGCAAAAATTTATGGTTCTGAGCCAGCATTGGGCAAAGCCTTAAACAAGGCAATTTATATGGGAGAAGTAGAGAGGGAAGAGATTTTCTTGACATCCAAATTGTGGGGAAGTGATCACCATGATCCTGTATCCGCATTGAAACGAACTCTAAAGTAAGTAATTAGTTTTTTCAGACTGAGCGTTCTCAAAATTATGCGTTCTGCATTTTAAATAATTTAATGATATTTTTAGAAAAATATTACTTTTTATTTGACATAATTTTTTAATTTTTCAGCTAATTAATTATAAAAAAAACTCGTGTTACCAAAAATCGAATATTGATTTTATTTATTTATTTTATTTTCCAAAAACAGGAATCTGGACATGGAATATCTGGATATGTATCTAGTGCACTGGCCAGTGAAGTTAAAACCATGGGTTAACTATCCTGTTCCTAATGAAGATGACTTTGAAAATTTGGATCTTGAAACAACATGGGCAGGGATGGAAAAATGTCTTGAAATGGGACTTTGTAGGTCCATTGGTGTTAGTAATTTCTCTAGCAGCAAGATTGAATGGCTATTAGATTTTGCTAATATATCCCCAGCTGTTAACCAGGTAATCAATTCACTATCTTAGGTGGAATCTCTTATTCCAATCACATTTTTTTTTCATTTATTAGAATCAAACTCTTTTATTGTAATCATTTTCAATTCGAGAGATTACTCTTTACATATACGAGCGAAAGATAGTCAGTTTTTACCAAAAACCAAAAAAGAAACTTTACAATAAAAAATATTAATGAGGAAATTATTATTTTGGTGTTTACTTAGGTGGAAATGCATCCAATGTGGAGGCAGAGAAAGCTAAGAAAGACATGTGGAAAGCATAACATCCATGTAAGTGCTTATTCACCACTTGGTGGACCAGGAAATGCATGGGGATCTACAGCTGTTGTTAATCATCCAATTATACAATCAATTGCCTTCAAACACAATGCAACTCCACCACAGGTAATTCAAATTTAATTGAATCAGAAGTGTTACAAGAGTTTTTATTATTACTCTTTGGTCGGAATCGGAGAATGTCTAAAGATTATTTCAGTCGGATGCAGATTCTCAATAGTCACTGATGCATACATTCACATGTTTAGTGCATCAATGACCTCCGATCATTGATGTACACATTCTGTGCATCAAAGACTGTTCTAGTGAGATCTAATGATTTGAAAATAATTATATTAAATTGAATCACTTTTTTTAAAAAAATTTGTTTAATTAATTAATTGTGACTATGGATTTTGAAGGTTGCATTGAAATGGGGGCTATTAAATGGGTCAAGTGTGATTGTGAAGAGCTTCAATGATGAAAGAATGGAGGAAAATATAGGATCATTTGATCTAAATTTGGATGATGAAGATATGTTAGAGATTGAGAAAATGGAAGAAATGAAGATAATGAGAGGGGAATTTCATGTCAATGAAACCACAAGTCCCTACAAAACAATTGAACAACTTTGGGATGATGAAATTTGAAGCTAAAATAAACAATGTTGTAATTCGTTTTATACACTCCATAAAGGGAAAATCATAAGAATTAAAGAAAATTCTCTCAACTCAATGTTTTTGTTTTTACTATGAACAAGACTTTTCAAATCTTTTTAAAGCCAACTCAGCTGGTAGCTATACATGAATATACATATGCAGATACGCATATTCGAACTCACCGATATTTCAGTTAATACCTTGAGAAGTGAGATTCCAATAGACTAGTAGACAAAAAACTTCAATTCTGATGATTGAGAATCAGAATGCTGATTATTTAAAATGACAACAAAAGAAGCACTTATTTTGTACATGCATTAAATTAAACCTAACTTGGAAAACATGAACACTAGTTAGTTGATATACAAGGGAATAACTAGAAAATGAAGAAGGAAAAGCTATTAAAGATTAAACACAACTAATTCAGTTAAAATTGCTGATAAATAAGAGAATGCTGATTTCTGCTTCCAAGCCTTATGATTTGATAATAACTTATGCTTCAGCATTGTTAAAAAACTATTTTGCAGCAACTTGTGTAGCATTTTCATGGGATCCTAATGAAGTACCTTGCTCAATACACTGAAAGAAATAAAATTCGATGTCATTCACAAGAACCGAATCAAGTACCTTTCAAAAGCATGTCGAAAAATATCAACATGTAATGAATTATAATGAATTAATACCTGAAGAAGATAACCGTGTAGCCAATCCAATGTTTGAGGAAATGTTGTTGCAGATACGTTGACTACGGTCAACCCCTGTGGCGGCACCATATGGCGAAAATTTTAGTATGATATTGAAAATTTCAAGAAATATGTAATGCTATATTTTTGTGATGTACCTGTGATGTGAAAGAGCATAGATAATCCTGTATGGTTTTCAAGTTGGCTATGAGTTTATCATGATCCTGTAAATTGAACAAAAAGTTTCAGAAAACAGAAGACGAAAAGAATCGCGACATGATAATACTTGTTTATGTGGCCGGCCTCTGAACGGTTCTTTGTTAAGTATAGAGTTTATTGTACCTGGTCTGGGCACTTATCGGTAAATGTACGAGATGAGATCCATTCTTCGAGTAATGCCTGCAAATAAGATAAGACGAGTCTCACTAGATTACTCGACTTTGCTAGAAGTAAATATGATGGAACCTGATAACAAGATCTTTGTACTTATGAAAAAAAAAAGGATAGCAAGAAAACCTTATGATCAAATTCAGCCATCTTCAAAACAATAGGCACGATTATCGGTTTCGTGCCTGACTTCTCCTTACTAATAGTTATTTTTTCGATCTCCAGTTCTTTGGGAGAAGCATCTGCATGACAAACCTACTTGCCATCAAAACATTAATTTGAAAATAGCAAATAGCATATTATGGTTTTTATAGTGGATTCATCAAATTGCACTATGGTTTATCAGTATCGCCGCTATTTGACAACACTTATTGAAACAAGTGTCGTGCATATTATGGATTTTTTTAGCACGGTTTATTTCTTAGTACCGAACTAAACAGCATTAAAATATGACAAATAACATAGGCTAACCTTTAAGCTCGGTGATGCTTCCAATTAGGTTCGAGGGTGAGGTGGAACTTGATGCTGCATCCGCCAGGTCATCATTTACTCCCTCGGAGCTCAAAATCTTGGAATCACTATTCGTCTCATCGCCACTTACGACATTAATACTTTCCGTGTTTATTGAAGTATTATCATCCAATTCTGCAGACAATGGATTTATTTCTTTATTTCCCGCATTTGCAGCGCTGGGTGATTTGTTCTCGTCTTCCACTAAATAAATGCTAGGATCCAAATGTATGCCCTGTCATTATGAAAGAAAAAAGACGAATCAAAATACAGATTTACACGACAAAATGCTGAAAGGAAATACGTGTCCATACATACCTCAATTATAATTGGTTTTCCGTCTTTCATTGCCTTTTTCAAGTCACCGCCCAAACCTAGAAATCAAATGTTAAACTAATTTAACAGACGACACAACAAGTAACTACAAAGAAAATAAAATATTCACAGAATTCTAGCAAAAAAACTAGATTATTAAATGATGACAATGATGATGATGATCTCAAAGCTAGAAAAAACTTGAAAACCTTTACGAACAACCCTGCATTCTCTGCAAAACTCGGTTATTAACTCTTCTGATGAATTGAAGTCTCGGGCCCACACAGGAGTTGAAGCCAATGGTGCACTGTATCAGATACAAGAAAATCGTCAGTCAAATTTCATGTGTCTAACAGAACTTTCAATCAACACGCAAAAAATCAGGACATACTCTGTCGAAGTGCGCAACAATTCGTAAACCATATCTGTCTGTCAGAATCAAAAACAAAAACATCAAAATCATTTGCAAATACAAAACACTCCAAATAAACTAGTCCTTACCTGGCACGTCGGCACCGGTTATAACTTAAAAAATGTAAGTAATTGAATATAACCACTTATGTTTGTGTCTGATGCTGACATGTGTCGAACACCAGATACACTTTCAATTTAATGTGTCGGTGCTACATAGGTGCTTACTTTATATGATGGGGAGATGCAAATATAATAGAGATATCAAATGCATACCTGTAATACATTTGGCAAATTTAGCCGCTGTGCAAGCTGGGTGGCAATTGTAGACTTCCCAACACAAGCAGTTCCACAGACAAGGATTACCAGGGGAACTCTTTGATGGTGAAACCTAGATGAATGGTGAAAGAAGGAAAATGGAAATGAAACCTAATATCATCATTACTAAAAAAGATAACACCCTCAAAATGTCTATGCATGTATTGTATAGATGGAATATGCATATCAAAAATGAATACAAACGTTGTCATCATCTTATAGCGATTTATGTACTCTTCTCCATATCCTCGCCGTCCCATAAGCTGTGAGGCATGACAAGGAAAAATGTTACGATAGAGAAAGAGAGAAGCCTCAAAAGGCAAGAAAACTTTGGCGTACCTTAAATAGGTTGGCTTCCAAATCAGACTGAGAGCTGCAGAATGAAACAGCAACGGAAGAGATTTTTTTAACTAATTTGATTAAAATCAAGGTTATGAAAGAAAAAATGAAAATTCAACACCGCAAAAAGAGAAAAGGAATAGATAGGCGGTAGCATACACGTCTAAAAGGCTGTTGTCTATGAGCAGCTTCTTCAGTTCAAGAGCAATTTTGATAGCTACATGGTTTGGAATCTGAAATAACAACACATAAGATTGAGACATTAAATCAAAGTAGTACAATCTAAATAAATAATTTTAAGGAAAACATTTGCCACTTAGGATTCGGCTCCTCTAAAATGAGTAGTTAAGAAATTTAGAAAATCAATTGATATTTTTATCGTCTGTGATATGGTATGCATATACATATATCAACAGTTGATATTGGTCTTAACGACAGCGGATGATGGTCCATGCCGGAGAGCCAAAATCCTTCAATAATGCCTGACATATACCGTCGTGGCGCTGCCATCCTTCACATATTTTGGCCACGGTGGAGAGCAAGGTTTTAAAAAACGGTATGTTACCGCCAAAACAGTATCAGAAGGTGTCGATACTGATACCGTCATTCCCCGATTTTGTGATAAAGAATAAATTGTAGTTAATTCACATGCAACAACCGCAATCAGAATTGCAACACCTATACATACCGAAATCGCGAAAGCCTTAACGCAATTGCGACCAGTGGTTGATATTACTTTCTAAAGTGAGTTGTTCACATTAAAGGAGCCATGACATGAATGAAAATCAGTTAAATTATACCTTGGTTACAGTTAGCATTCTACTCAGCAAAAATCTGGAAAGAACATAGTAATGATCCGCATTATCACCCAACCACACCTTTACCTACAAACACAAACAAAACCCAAAAAACAAAATCAACGCAAAATCAACTAAAAGACACAATTTTTAAACAAAAACCAAAAACACCATTCAAAACTAAAGCAAACCCAGATTTCAAAAACGCATAATTAGAAAAGAAAAGTTAGAATTTTGATCACACCTTAACAAAATCATATTTGGAAGAAGCGTTGCGAGAAGAGAATCTGACAGAAGGAAAGGAAGGAAATTGTTTATCGTCACTGTCTTCACCACTGACGGGGCTTGACACATCGATTGCTTTACCTTTCTCCTTCTCCTTCTTCATCAATGATATCAATAAAAATCCCTTCTTTTTCTCTTCTGTTTTGGTTTCTCTCTGTGATTTCACGTGCGGTTTTCTATTGTTTTTCTGTAAAAACGTTTCTGTTGAGTGAAAAACAAAGTTTGTCACAAAAAAACAATATCGTTGAAACAATCAATCTAGTAACTGGATTTCGATTTAAAGAGATTAAATTTATGAAATTTTTTAAAAGATGCCTTCGATTGAGAAAAACAACGTAAAAATTAGAAATTTTTATCAAATAGTCCATTTTTCTTTTTAATAAGGGTCATGTTAATCAATATCTTGAATTATCAGGGTTTTGAAGACATTCTTTAAATATATCAAATAAAGAAAAATAATTTCTAATATATTAATTACACATATTTTTAAAAAATCTTAATATTTTAAACTACAATATATAATATATAATAAAAATTGTCAATTCAATTAATGAAAATTCAAAAACACATAAATAAGAGAATGTATATATATATTTGGATATTATCGTTAATAGAATTAACGATTTCTGTTATATGCTATACATTTTTGTCAATTAAATTGATGACTCTTTTATGTTAGAATTTTTTATTTAAAAGTGAATTAGTTTAAAAATATGTGAAAAAGTTGGTTAGCTTGGTTATTTATCAAAAAATGAGTTATTTGGATAAAAAAGATTTAAAAATCAATTTATAGAATTATATAAGAGACGCAATTATGTTTCAATTAACTATTTAAAAATTAAAATTTTAAATTAAAATTATATCATTTAATTGGATTCTATTTAGTTTTTTTTTGTGTGTTTAATTTTGGAGTGAAGAGAATAATAGTGTGATTAGTTGAGAAGAAATTGAAATTAGAGAAAAAAAGTGAGAGGAAATATAAAAAAAGAGAAATAGATAAGAAATAGAGGAGATTTGAGATATTGTTTAGTATAAAAGAAAGAGAAGAGAAATAGAAGAGAGAGAAGTAAGTTTAATTTTTAAAAAAACAAAAATACCCTTAAATAAACATTACTATTTTATGTATAATTTTTTTAAGAATATTATATTAATGTATAATTAAAATAAAAAATTAAAAAAAATATTTTTTTATCAAAAAATCAAACTATTAGATTTATTTCTCAAGCTAAAGTCTAAAACTTTAATATTTATTAAAAGAAATAAAAAGAATTAAAGTTTATCCAACCATCATATAAAAAATAAATTTTAAAATACTCAATAATCAATTAAAAGATTTTCCTATTAAAATGCAAATCAATTTTAAGGCAATTATAAAAGTGTCAGATTTGCAATTATATAGGCTACTATATCTTACAAACATATGAAATAGCATGGGCAATTATATAGGTTAGTAGAGAAATGAAAAGGATGTAGGTCTCGTATGTTTTAGATCTCTCTTTTTAATTTCTCTTCATATCAAGTAAGAGAAATACCATCACTCTCCCCAACCTCTCTCTCTTCAAGTTCTCTCTTTTCAACTTCACTCCTATCAAACATCCTAAATGTCTGAGCAAATTGGTTTCATTGAATTTATTATGCTTAAAAGTAAAATGGTTATGTGATACGGTGGCAGAACTGACTGTTTTGGAAATGCTGGTTTGCGTTTTGCGTTTTTTGTTAGCAAAATGTCGCGGTAAGCAAGAGTCGTCACCGACTTTTATTTTATCCAACCAGAAAGAAAAAAAGCACAGAAAAAAAATCATTTTTTGAGATTTTGAGTACGAGGGTAGATTATAGAAAAGGGAAGGTGTTAGCACCCTTTGTATCCATGGTTTTCCATGGGCTCTTAGGTACTTGCTCATCTTTTAAATTGCTTGTGTGTGTTTGTTTTGAAAAGTTTTGTTTTACTTCGTTTTAACCCTTGTTTCTGCCCTCAAGGGTGTTACAAAGTTGTTTTTGAAAACTATTTTGAAGAAGTGTTTGGTGTGAAAAAGTTTGATTTTGAGCAAGTACCTACTAGCATCTACCTACTCGAAAAAAGATTGTTTCTATTCTCGTTTCATTTAGACAGCGCTATCCCACTATTTAGAAATAGGTAGCACCGTCGTTAAAATTATAAGGGTCAATTCGAAAGGGACGTACGATCACTAAAGCAATGTTAGGACGTCTTAGTAATAACCCTAAAGTCTTAAGATCATATTCGAGACAACATTTCTGAGGCGACGTTTCCGAGGCAACATTTCCAAATGGGACTTTTGATTTTTGCTTAGACAGGAGGGCAACCACTAAGACACCCTATACTTAATGACCGTTTACTGAAGGCAACCGAAGTAAGAGTATATCCTAGGAGTGCGCATGTGCGAGTGATTTGATTTCAGATATTATCTTTGCACATTAGGGTTTTCTAGCCGTTTTAAATTATCATGCAATCTTGTCATATAATCCTATTAACATACATCTAAACAGTTAATATTTGCGGAAATTAAAATACGAGAAATAAAACCTACGCTATTACAAGGCTTCGGGGAGGGGATTAATTACATAGCCAAAAAACCCGTAAAACGATAAATAAAGAAAGTTCTAGATTAAACTATTACATACCGTAGACAATTACATTAATATTGCAAAAATAGTAAATGTGTGCGATGAATCGAAAACAAGAGAATTAGGGTTTTGATCCCAACTAAGCCTAATTGCAATTTAAAAGAAAAAACATTTTTTTGTCGTTTTTTGTATTTATTTAAGAAAATAAAGCTTAATTGAATAATACCAAAAACCTAATTACTAATTTAATTTTAATTAAGAAAAATAATTAAATTAACCTATTTTTTGTATTTTTTAATTTTGAGAAAGAAATAAAAATTAAATCAAAAGTTAACCCTAATTTTTCTAATTGATTTTAATTATAAAAAAAGTTAGAATTACCCTAGATTAAACTAAACTAATATTAAATTAACTTTGATAAAAAAAACAAACTAATTCTAATTTTTTACAAACTCTTGATTTTATGATTTTTTATGAAAAAAGGAAATTAATTTTGTTAAAAAAATATTTGAGCAAATTAAGTTAAATAAAAGAAGAAAAAAATAGAAAAGAGAAAGAATGGGCCTGGTTGTTGTTAGCAAAAAAAAAGGGGGGTGCTGCTTGCAATTCTTGGCCCAACAATTCCTGGCCCTTTTTGACTTTTCCAGATTATGTGTGTATGCTTGACTGGGAGCATGGTGGACCCTCATGGGAAGGCCTTGGATCTGAAGCCTTGGTGGTTTGGATGATCAGATCTGGAGAGTGCATGATGGATCCTGGAGTGGGAGATGCACTGGATTGCCTGTCCAAGAAAAACATGAAATAAAGTTGGGACTTGGGGATCGAACCCATGCCCTTAGGAATTATCCCCTTGCCACGCTGCCAGTTGAGCCAGAATGTTTAGTTGTCATTACAATAACACATAATTATCATATAATATAAACAAAAAGCTAATCTTTGAAACGCGCGAAATTCAAATTGGCAAGTCTAGAGCGCCACGTATCCTTCTTCTTCCTCCCACCGTCGCTGTAAGTTTCATAGCTTTTACCTACGGACACTGAGCGTAGGTATAACCCTGTGCATTTCCAAAACCTATATGTGTATGATAAATGACAACCAATGGTACCAATCAACTCGTTGCAACCTCGTGAGCATCATGGTACCATTATTAATGGCCAATTTTCCCTATACACAAAACCCCTAAAAATAAAACACGAACCCTAGCCATGGCAACTTGATGTACAATCAATAAAAATGAAATTAATCATAACCATTAGCTTGCAAACAACTCAAGGATTGTGAATATATCAATTAATCATGCTAAATATGCCAAAATTAATGTATTCGAATTCAAGAAAAGAGACAAACCGTATGACTCTTACAGGGTGTTTCAAGGCGTGAGGAAGCTTGCTAGCGATTGAAACACGATCCTGGGATGTCCAGCAAACGATTGGTATGCTTAGAATGGCTTGAGATGGCCTGAAACATGGAAATCAATTTGCAACTTTTTCTTGAATTTTTGAAGTTTGTTTTCTGCCTTTGTACGCCTCTAGCCTCTTGTTTTTGGTCTGCACTTGTCCCTTATGTATACTAGAGTGTATTAGGGTTGCAACTTTGTATCAAATCTCTCTCAATTATGAATATTGATTCATGATTCAATCCTTGCACCAAATCTTTCCAAATCAAGCAAATTCAATCTTTTTGTGTCCATGTGAACCTTGCACGATTTGATTTTGTCTCCAACTGTGTAATGGACCTAATCATGCACAAAATCTCAAGATTTAATTAGTTTTTGATATTTTCATTATTTTACTTTGATTTTATTTGATTTAAATGAAATAAAATCAAAACAAATGACAAAAATAAAAGAATGACAAGTGGAAGGGCTCATGGGTCGTGGGTCACATTACAAACTCAGTGCAAGCATAAAAAGTTGGGCCCATTTGACAAAAAATGCAATTTTGGACACATTTGACTTTTGGCAATTTTGCAAAAAGGGTCAACCTGGCCAATGCCTAACTCTCTCAATTTTGACCCTAGAGATATTTTCTTGGACTTTTTAGAAAGCTTAATATTTCCTCTAAGCAACCTTTTTGGTATCATCTCAATTGAGTCTTCCATGTTCATGTATGAAGCTTTGACCCAAAAGGTGTTTTTGTTGACTTTTCAAAATGACCTATAATGTCCAAATTCATATCTTCTTGTGAGTGCATATTTTGAACTTTGGAGCTGAAGATTAATTGTAGGTAATTACATCCTCTTCAAAGTGAGCTTTGGATGGGTCAGTTTTGATAAAGTATGAGAAAGTTATGCTTGGTCAAAGTTGAGTTGACTTTTCCTATAAAACCCTAATTTAGCAACTTTTGGGTTTTGATGAATTGTGAGCAATCCTTGAGGAATCATGATCAACCCTTGATCAAATGATGTATAATATTTCAAAATGAGGATGTTGGCCAAAAATATTAAAGTTTGACTGTATGTGGGACACAATTGACTTTTGCCCTAACACAATCGATTTTCAGGCCTTTGAGCAATTAACTG